GCTGACGTTTGTCCCCCTGTCTTCCCAAGAGATTTGCAGGATTTTCCGGAGGCAGCGCTGATGGAATTGTTCCAGGAGTTGCATGTGACGTCTGTAGACAGTCCACGTTTCGCAGGCATATAGCAGGGTTGGGAGGACAATAGCTTTATAGACAAGCAGCTTGGTATCCCTTCATTCGGAAAAATGCTGCACTCGCAGAGCTCAAGCGGTGTCGTATTTCAGTCTCAGTGTTGATGTCTGTAGACAGTCCATGTTTCGCAGGTGTATAACAGGGTTGAGAGGAGAATCGCTTTATAAACAAGCAGTTTGGACTCCCTACAGATGTCCCGGTCCTCAAACACTCTCTGCTTCATTCAGAATAATGCTGCACTCGCAGAGCTCAAGCGGTGTCGTATTTCAGTCTCAGTGTTGACGTCTGTAGACAGTCCACATTTCGTAGGCGTATAGCAGGGTTGGGAGGACAGTAGCTTTATAAACAAGCACCTTGGTATCCCTACGGATGTCCCGGTCCTCAAACATTCTCTGCTTCATTCAGAAAAATGCTGCACTCGCAGAGCTCAGGTGGTGTTGTATTTTGGTATCAATGTTGACTTTGGTGGACGTCTGTAGATAGTCCACATTTCCTAGGCGTATAGCAGGGTTGGGAGGACAATAGCTTTATAGACAAGCACCTTGGTATCCCTACGGATGTCCTGGTCCTCAAACACTCTCTGCTTCATTCAGAAAAAAGCTGCACTCGCAGAGCTCAGGTGGTGTTGTATTTCAGTGTCAATGTTGGCTTTGGTGGAGAGGTGGCTGCCAAGGTAGTGGAAATGGTCAACATTTTCTAATGTTACACCATTAAGCTGTATCTCCAGCATTGGAGAGGGGTTAGCTGGTGACTGCTGGAGGACCATTTTGGTTTTCTCGATGTTCAATGACAGGCCGAGCTTCTCGTATGCTTCTGTGAAGGTGTTTAGAGTGGCTTGTAGATCTTCTTCTGAATGCGCACAGACGACGTCGTCATCAGCATACTGGAATTCTATAACAGATGTTGTTGTAATCTTGGTTTTGGCTTTCAGTCTGCTGAGGTTAAACAGCTTGCCATCCCCTTCTCGCTTGGACTCTGTAATGTGAACAATGCTACTGAACTAAGTCACAAAGGGAGCAAGCCGGCTGCATTCCTTCCGATGTGGCAGCTCAAAGGAAACATTAGGCAAAGAGGTTCAGGAGTTGATCGCCCGGCCTTAGTGAAACCTGACACTTCCAGGTTCTAGTGTTCCTTTCAACACAGGATTTTTTATATATAAAAAGAACCCTCTTTAAATATGTATAGGCACTAAAGATTGATCCTCTGGGCCCCTGAGTGCTTGATGCTATAATTAGCCTTCACTAAAGCAGGATTTGCATGCTTGTTACCATGCGTGGGGAGGAAATGTCAGGCGGAGCATCCACGCTGAGCGCATCAGCCAGCCTCCTCGGTTGGCCTTCTTTAATTCCCCTTTTAACCACTGTGTATGTGTGTGATGGCTGCCCTAGAAGGCTAAGAAAGCCAACAAAACAGCACATTCAAATTTGCTTGCAAATACACACCTGCTTTGAATACTTTCTGTCATTTTTGCCCATCCAAGGGTTAGTGACTGCTTCTCTTAGCCAAATTCGAAGCTGAGAAGCAGTGCGGATTGAACACAACAGGACGTAGCAATGGGTTTCTTCAAAGGATGGCATATTTTTGGAATTCAACCCCATACCACCCAAGTCTCAAGTCCTCAATGAGGTACAGTTTATTTAGTTTAGTATAGATCATGCTCTGACCTACAAGAAGCACTACCTGAACATCAACCTGGGGATCACAACCAGACACAGTGAAGACATCTGCCCTTGCGCTATGCTGCTCTCCTGCTGAGTATGCATGCCCAGTGTGGAACACATCTCACCATGCTAAAACAGTGGATGTATCTGGCCACTTGGAGGGCCCCTGGTGTTGCCGCAAGGAGGTACTCCATTGTGCATGTGACAGGGCTCAGGTTGCATTGCAGCAGGTGGTCAGTGGTTTGCTCCTCTCCACACTCGCATGTTGTGGATTCCACTTTGTAGCCCCATTTCTTGAGGTTGGCTCTGCATTTTGTGGTGCCAGAGCGCAGTCTGTTCAGTGCCTTCCAAGTTGCCCAGTTTTCCATTTGAGCCTGCCACTTTTGGACTCTCTCTTGCTGAGGTGTTCCAGCGAGTGTCTCTGTAGATCTAAGAAAACTATGTCTTGATTTAAGTCGTTGACATGCTGGCTGATGCCCAAACAAAGGGATGAGCTGGAGATGTCTCTGCCTTGGTCCTTTCACTATTGGCTGCTCCTTCGCGGCGGATGTCAGGTGGTGCAATACCGGCTAAGCAGTGTAATTTCTCCAGTGGTGTAGGGCGCAGACACCCCGTGATAATGCGGCATGTCTCATTAAGAGCCACATCCACCGTTTTTGTGTGGTGAGATGTGTTCTACACTGGGCATGCGTACTCAGCAGCAGAGTAACAGGGCAGATGTCTTCACTGTGTCTGGTTGTGATCCCCAGGTTGTGCCAGTCAGCTTTCGTATGATATTGTTTCTAGCACCCACTTTTTTCTTGATGTTCAGGCAGTGCTTCTTGTAGGTAAAGAGCATGGTCCAGAGTGACTCCCAGGTATTTGGGTGTGCTGCAATGCTCCAGTGGGATTCCTTCCCAGGTCATCCTCAGAGCTCGGGATGCTTCTCTGTTCTTGAGATGAAAGGCACATGTCTGTGTTTTAGATGGGTTGGGGATCAGCTGGTTTTCCCTGTAATAGGCAGTAAGAGCACCTAGAGATTCTGAAAGCTTCTGTTCAACCATCTCAAAGCTCCTTGCTTGGACATTAATGGCACGATCATCAGCATAGATGAAACTCTCTGTCCCTTCTGGCAGTGGCTGGTCATTTGTGTAAATGTTGAACATGGATGGAGTGAGCACGCTCCCCTGAGGCAGGCCGTTCTTCTGTTTTCGCATCTGCTTCTCTGGCCCTGGAACTCAACAAAAAAGCTCCTGTTTTGTAGCAGGTTTCCTATGAGGCGGGTGAGGTGGTAATCTTTTGTGATATTATACATTTTTCTCAGGAAGTGGGAGGAAACACTCGAATGCCCTCACCCCAAAAGAGGAATGTCTAATTCTGCCCCTCGTTTTCTTCTAGGTTGAATATGTCTTCTCTGATAAAACGGGGACGTTAACAGAAAACACCATGGAGTTCATTGAATGCAGCATTGATGGCTTCAAGTACAGCCATGCCTTCTCGGAGGTTGACGGAGGAAAGGCTTCGGAGAAAGCAGCGCTGGTAACATTTACTATTGCTGTTCTTTGGTGCTTGAAGGTTCTTCATTTTGGACTGCCACTCCCAGAATCCATCCTATCCCATGTCTTATAATCTGATTTGGGTACTTGGGTCATAGAATCATAGAGTTGGGAGCGATCTCGTGGGCCATCCCATCCAACCCCATTCTACCAAGAAGCAGGAAAATTGCATTGAAAACACTACCGACAGATGGCCATCCAGCCTCTGTTTAAAAGTATTCACCACACTCCAGGGCAGAGAGTTCCACTGCTGAACAGCTCTCACAGTTAAGAAGTTCTTCCTCATGTGCCATTGTTCCATTGCGTCCTAGTCTCCAGCGCAGCAGAAAACAAGCCTGCTCCCTCCTCCCTATGACTTCCCCTCACATATTGATACCTGGCCCTTATCATGTAATATAATATATTGTATATACATTAGGCTTGGTTGATCCAGCTTGTCCATATCTCTCTTCAATTGTGGTGCCCAGAATTGGACACAATATTCCAGATGTGGTCTACCCAAGGCAGAATAGAGGGGGAGGTCCAGCTCGTTAATTTCTAATCTCGTTAAGAAATCATAAATAAAATACCTTTAGAAGCGATATCGACGCGTTTTGGCAACCCGGAAGTGTTTTTGCCATATCGAAGCGGCGTCCACCATCTTCCTTACGACTTCCGGCAGTGAATCGTAAATGCTGGGGGCGTGGCCTTCAGGAACAACTGTTCTTACCCACGCCCATCTCTTCCTCTTTGCATCGGCGGCTTTGCGAGGTGGGTGTGGCTACCTCCCTGGCGACAAGTGGCGATGCGGAAGAGCTGGGCGTAGCCACGCTCACCTCGCAAAGCCCACCTCGCAAAGCCGCCGATGCTTCTAAAGGTATTTTATTTACGATTCCATAACGATATTAGAAATTAACGAGCTGGATCAACCAAGCCTAATATACACACATACACAAACACACATATATATACAAATACACATATATACACAAATATATACACACACATAAACACGCCCACCTCTCCCTTCTGCATGGAAGCTCGCCGCAAGGGAAGGAAGGGAAACTGAGAGATTTTAATGGTTCTGGATCATAGAATCATAGACTCAAAGAGTTGGAAGAGACCTCATGGGCCATCCAGTCCAACCCATTTCTGCCAAGAAGCAGGAATATTGCATTCAAATCACCCCTGACAGATGGCCATCCAGCCTCTCTTTAAAAGATTCCAAAGAAGGAGCCGCCACCTGACTCCGGGGCAGAGAGTTCCACTGCTGAACGGCTCTCACAGTCAGGAAGTTCTTCCTCATGTTCAGATGGA